CAGAATGCAGTGGCGTCACAACTCACTGCAACCTCAGACTCAGGCTATGGGCATCCTGCTGCCTCAGCCTCAGAAGCCACTGGGATTACAGGCATTCACCTCAGCGCCAACTGAGTTTTTCTCTTTTTTTAAATTTTTTTTTTTATTTTTGCTTTCAATTTCTGCTGGCTTTCACTTTATCTTAGTTTGAAGTTTGAAGTTTGTTTGTTTTTCTTTCTTCCTTTAGCGATTCTTTTGCCCTCTTGCCCCCCATGTAGGTGGGATTACAGGCGCTTGCCACAATGTCTGGCTTTTTTTTTTTTTTTTGGTAGAGACAGGGTCTCACTCTGGCTCACTCTGCCTCACTCTGCCTCATGCTGGTCTTCTGCTAGTCTTGAACTCAGCTGAGCTCAGGCGATCCACCTGCCTCGGCCTCCCACAGTGCTAGGACAACAGGCGTGAGCCACCATGCCCAGCCGTTTTTCATTTTATTAAAGAGTCCAGGTCTCACTCTTGCTCAAACAAGTCTGGAGCTCCTGAGCTCAAGCAATTCTCAGCATTTTTAAAATTCTTCATAGTGCTGGCTGAGCACAGTGGCTCACGCCTGTAATCCTAGCACTCTGTTTCTACAAAAAAAAAATTAGCTGAGCATGGTAGCTTGCACCTGTAGTCCCAGCTGCTAGGGAGGCTGAGGTAGAAGGATTGTTCAAAGCTCAAGAGTTGAAGGCTACAGTGAGCTGTGATCCCACCACAAAGCATGAGACTGTCTTATTAAAAAGTATATATTTTTTCTAGGCATGCTGTGCCTTACACCTGTAATCCCATCACTCTGGGAGGCTTAGGTCCCAGCATTCTGGGAGGGCAAGGCAAGTGGATTGCTTGAGCCTAGGAGTTCAAGACCAGCCTGAGCAAGAACGAGACCCCCATCGCTACTGAAAAAAAAAAATAAATGAATGAATATTTTTCTTAAGACATTTGCCTTTTAGTCATGCATTTTGATACATATGATTTATATCAAAAGGATTTTCTAAGACAGGGAACTTTAGGCCAACTGTCCCTTTACAGTATCACAGAGTCCAAAATAGCAGACCCTAAGTTACATGGGCTTTACCTGGCCATGTGTCACTTCTGGAAAGCACTCCCTAATCCTCATCTATGTAGTCGATTAAATTAGGTGACAGTTATTTGTGAAGTAGGAAGTATTTAAATAGGAAGTATTTATCATGATTATCAAGTGACAACTTTTAACTTCCGCAGAACCAAAAATAGTTTGTTCCAGATGAGCAGCCAGTTCTAATGGGTTGGGGAGTGCTCGTCCTCCCTGAATCATTCATTAGGGACTGTTTATTGAAAGTTGCTCATTGTGATCTGACAGCCCTGTCACTGCAGCATGGTCACAGCAGCACGTGTGACGGGGAATGCCGTTTTCTTAAGCTTAGCCGTTTCCACCAGCTACTTAGACGTGAAGTCAGATTTGGCAGCAATTTTCAGTAAACTCTACACTAGTAACTTGCTGCAGGATTGTGTTTCTTTGAGGTGCTGTGGGGACCTCTTGGAAGACGCAAGGGTAAAATAGTGAATATCTGCTTACTTTCATGACTGACAAATGCAAAATGTCTTAGCTGTTACACTCTGAACAATACAGTTAGGAAGATTAATAGGTTTAGTTAGTTATTAGTAGCTTCTAGACTTTCATCTGAATTTTTACTATGTTGAATTATCTCATTATGTAATTCTGGCTTACTGGGGCAAAGAAGGTTCTGGATCACAAGCCCTAAGTGGTGGATATTTGGAAACATGCCTCCTCTCTCATGGTAATCCCGGGTCAGGGGCAAGCCCAGTGCCAGCAGTTCAGCTCTTGCCCCTTCAGAAGTAACAAAGGCCAAGCAGTGGCCTGGGGGGTAGAGGAGTAGGAATGCCATTTTAAGGTTGCTTAGCATATTTTAACTAAATGTGTGATAAAAGCAAATTCTAATAAATTGGTTAATAATTTCACAGTGAAGTTACCTAGGTTTTCTACAGCAATGAGTGTTTCTTCATGTTTTAAATGTATCTTGTTAAAACTTACAGAGGTGTTCAAGAACCCTAATAAGTGGAATCCCTAGCTGGCTGCAGGCCAGGTCTCTAAATTTGTCAATGTGAAAATAGGACTTCCTCCCCCATCTCCCATGTCCCACTGAAGGTGCCTGTGCAAACCAGTGGGTAGGCATGGTGGCACTTGTTCTCCAAGAAGCCACTCCACACTGATCCTCCTACATACTTACACGTTTTGGGTTAAATGAACCAAGTCTTAGTTTTATAACCTGTTTACTGTCTGCGACTGCATTTGACAACCAACAATAGTATAAGGGAAATCTTGCTTTGAACCTGTTGTGAATGGACGGAGGAGTCCCACAGGGTGGCATTCCTGTGACCAGGGGCTCAACTTCTCTCCCAGTATTTGGTAAGCCAACTTAATACACGGTTGGGAACATGGTAGTTTCAGTGTTAAAACACTGTACACTTGGAAACCTACAGTAAATATCGTCAGTAGTTTTTAAACAGCAGTTAAATTTATCCTATAAAACTCTACCTTAAGGGCGGTGCCTGTGACTCAAAGGAGTAGGGTGCCAGCCCCATATGCCGGAGGTGGCTGATTCAGACCCAGCCCCGACCAAAAACTGCAAAAAAAGAAAAAAAAAAAACAAAACTCTGCCTTAAGATGTGTTTAAAATTTGGTACTTAATAGCTTCAGGATTCCCAAAGAAGAACATTAGAAAGTAAACTTGAGGCTCGGCGCCTATAGCTCAACCGGCTAAGGCGCCAGCCACG